AATCTCGGTATCATCAAAAATGAGGGTCAAGCCTCAATGTATCTCCGAGAACAAAATAAAGCTAGATGATATCTAACCGTCATAATGTTGAGAGTTCAGCAGATAGCCAACACATTTATCTAGATAGCTATTAGCTAACATAGCTAACATGGATAACATAAAATGTCTGGATTTGTGGTTGGTACCAAGACAAAGATAAAACAAAACACTTATTAGATTATAATGTCTCTTAACACCACTGAATGACTTTGTATATTTAAAGCCTGTTCAGAATGATGCACAATTAATCAAACTTGGGTACCAAAGTAACAATAATATCTAGATCATTTCCATTTCAACTGGCTTCACATTTTGACATCTTCTTTAAAGCATCAATTTACAAAAAAAAAAAATTTTTAATCAAACCAAAATAACTATTTCATACTTATTCAGCACTAGAGCTATTCAATGATCAAATATTAGCTGGGTGACTCAATAAACACAGACAGGTATTTAACTGGTGGCTGATGGGAACAGATGCATGTAAGCCTATTGGCTGTGGGACAACACTTATACGATTGACTTTAAAAGGAGCGTAAACATTTCCTAGAAATAAAATTGCAGAGTGTGATGCAAAGAGTGATATTGATATGGATATTTTAAGGGACAGATGTATGGGGGTGAGCTCAAGGTATGGAGGAGTGTTGCACTGGTATCACTGAAATAACTCAGTGGCAATGGCACTCCACCAGCAATGCAAATCAGTTTCAATTACAAATTAATCCAACGATGCTGGCATAATTTGATATCTATACTTTTGATATCTTGGGCTTTATTTAATTCTGCTGGTCTCTGCTATAGCCTGATATGACACTGCTGGCAATGTGCCTTGAGTGTTTTGATTAATTCACTTAAAACCACAATGTAATCAGACATCCGAACAGACAGCACCTCCTGGCTTGATTTAGTCTGACCTTTTAGCTGAGCGGGGAGAGAGGATGGTGGCTGTGTGATCCACCAGGAATGCATTTCAGGCCTTGGCTGATATATCTCAGCCACAAGCGGCCTGGGGCAAGCCCAAACTAAAAGTAAGGGTTTGCCTGGATATTTCCTCACCTACATGGCAACTTAAACCTGGATTTGTGTGAGTAATTGATATTTGAGTTAATCACGGCCTTTCTTTGATAGTATTTTTACTGGACAATCTTCACTGGACCTATTCTTTGGACTTATTTTACTGTTCTTCTTATGTTGCATTCACTACATTAGTACTGGGCCTATAAGCCTGTGTATGCTGTATTTCTACTAACTGTTAAAACTCTGATCAGTTTTTAAATTGCCATTTTCCAAGCCAACAGCATCCACTGAATTTTAGAATTTCCTCTACTAAGGTTTTGTCAGCTTTTTCCCTTACGCTCTAATGTTTTTTATGGAGACATTTACCTTGGGGTGACTCAGGAACAACTGCTTCATGAGCCTGTGATGCCACATCGAGACACTGTAAGTGACACCGGACTATACAAATGAAGTGACATGAACATAGGAGAGAAAAGGACAGTTTTCAGTTTGGAAGAGCTCCAACTGCTGCAGACTGATAGAGGCACAGAAGGTTTCTGCTGAGGATCTGGGGTTCCTAGTGGCCACATTATCACCCTCCCTCAGGCACATTCCAACAGCCTCCACCCACCTGCCCAAAATAAACTGTACAGCCTTAACCCCTTCCTCCCCACCCATAGCCTTCCAAAACACTCAACTTGCACATGATTAAACTCCAGAGCACGTGTGTGTTACTTGGTTTCACATTTCTGCTTAAAATAGGAATTACAATTTTTTACTCACAGACTTCATGATTTTCTCCTATGATTCTTAGAGACATTTTTTTTTTTTATATTTCGCATTTTGCCTTGATGTAAACAAAACTAACTTTTCAATAGATAGCTCACAAGAAACTGCATGGAAGGCTAAATTAGAATAATGAGCTAAGTCTCATTCAAACAATGATTTCCATTATAAACGAAACACACAGCTCACTGATGGCCGGATTTTGCCCCAAACACTGTGGCCTTATCCAATTATTCAAGGGGGCTGCTTTCAATGTTTAATCCATTATTATTCCCAACATTTCTTATTCCTCCAAACAGGCAAGACCCCCCTTCAGTCTTGTGTGATCATTGGAAAAAAATCCTGTTCCAACAAAAATGGACTGTCAGGGTCATGTATGACTTCATAGTTCAGTTTAACCTGAATCTGCTGTGGCATCAAAATTATGCATTTTTCACATTTCTACCTCAACTACAGCCACTCAATACTCAATGTTAATGTATAAGATTAAAGCAGGTAGCACAACATTTAAAGCATAGTTATATGAGGGTCTCATTTGTCTAGTATAGCATCAGTTCCTTGTTTTGCACAGTGATGATAAGACCCATATCTTTGGCTGACTTAGGTCATGGCCTCCGAAGTCTGTTTTTTCCTATGAGAGATTCTCAGGTTTTGTAGTGAACTTGATAAATCTCAATTTATGGATGCCTATGTGGTCAGGTGAGAGGGATTTTCAGGTGAAATTATTCCAGCCTTGATAGCTGTATCATATTGAATTTTTCTGGTGATATTTCATGTGGCTGCACAAATTCATAGCGAAACATTTGCTCGTGTGCAGCCCTTGTAAATTATGCAATGTTTGCATACTAACAGGAAAACTCAAATGTGCTAAATGACTACTATTACAGATATTACTATATAATTTTAACATTTTACAATTCTTCACTACTTGATCAAGCAAAAAGGAAATTGAAGGTTTGCTCTGCAAACATATAAAACTGTGGTCTGCAGATTTCACTACTGTCTCCTTTTCAAATGACAAGAAGAAACCACAAATGGCAGGTTCAGGAGAAAAAGAAGAAGCAAAGTAAAAATGGCACACACCAAATATAAATTAAGACTGAAATCGCAGAGTCTGATTTGCATGGGGTTAGAATTATCAAGGGACAGACTGTGCTCATCATAACACATTGGTCATTTTTACATGGCATACTGCAGACAGCAGATTTACTGAGGATTATAATCACAGGCCAGAGCTACAATTATTACTAATCACTGTAATCATCCAAGAGCAAAACTAGTCCTGTGTGAATGATGCACAGGACTAAAATTCTGGATTCATAATATTAGAACTTATCAGCAGTAAGGAGTTTGTGGACCAGGTTGTGTTGTTGTAGCCATACAATGTGGTAAAATGCAGAAGGCTTTTTAAGGACATTATGCAGTTTGGTCTTCCTCTTCTCTCTCCATAGTCTCCATAGTAGGAGGAGTTATATGTTGTGTAGGCGTCACAGGTTTTAATCACCAATGGATTGGGTAACACTATCTTAACAGCCAAGGTACTGGCTGTCTTGATTATATAACCGTCAGTTACACTAAATTCATGCTGGCATGATGTATGTCTGTCTGACATGTCATGATAAAAATGTCCTGTATTTCATACCTGATGTATGAAAACAACCAACTGCAGAGAGTATCAATTCAAGGCATTCACACAAAGCTTTGCAGAGGGAGGGGTGGACTATTTAGAGTAGCAGAGTATAGGTTTTAGGGGAGTTGTATTCCTTACTCTCTGTAATTACAAGAAATAGACCTTAAATTACAGAATCTATGGTTAGGTTTAAAAATGAAGCACATGTAGACTGGGTGAAGTGCGTTGAATTTACCTCCAACATACCGAAGGCATCAATAAAAAGAAAAGTTTGAAACCTCGCTCAAATATGTTTTACAGTTTGAAACATTGCTACAGGCCATGAGTGTGTTTTCATTTCAATAGTGGCTTTCATTAAGTTATATAAGGCACATTTGCATGAAATGGTGGCTCAGTACAATCCACTTTAATAAAAGTAACACTAGCATGTTCGCTTTTTGTCTTTACACAGAAGCAGAGGCAAGTTTAAAGTGCTCCTGCTTTACATTTCTAAAATACTCCCATTACTATCTTTAAAGTTTTACCGATTTGAAAGTAAAGAGCACAAATAGACAAGCAATTTAAATGATAATAAATAATGTGTTCTAAAAAAAGTTATTCTTCCTCTCTGTTGATTTTTCATTTTCTTTTCAGAAGAAAACTTTTCTGTAATTATCCAATTTACCCACAAGCAGTTTTGTCATCTCATTTCATACTGGACTGATGGTGGGTGACTAAATTGTAGAAATATCAATGTACACTACAAGATGGTAACACCTTGTTGCAGCAAATATGACAGAAAACGCAGAGTCTCTGAGTCTTTATCGACAGCAGCCCTCCATCTAAACTTAGCTGTTGACAGATTTAAATCTCTTCACGTAAACAGCCCGTCTTATTCCACTGAGGCCTCCCTCATAATATACAGTCCACTAGCTTGTTTACAGTAAACGCCAGCATGGTAAAGCTGTTAAAATGCACCCTAACCCCTCCTCCTCTTCTCCTAGCTGCCGTCAGCCCCTCTCTTCCTCAGCCCTCAGTCCTAATTGCATCAGGAATCTCCCATATTCTACTCTTAGGCCACATTACTAAGCAGCTCCACCAGAAAAAAAAATGATAGTTTTAGACCAGAACCTTTAAAACATGTACCCTACCAGAAGGAGACAAACTTGAAAGCCTAAGCTCAGGGTTTATAAACATTTGGCCAGTGGCTGGTGTTAATTTCCCACCCTGGTCAGATTACTACATGTGCTGCTGAGAAAGTAACATGCAGTTTTGATGTATGGGGTGCAAAGGCCAGATGTGGCTCCCTGGTCAACAACCAACATTTCTGATTTTGTACTTCCTCCGTGTGCAACTGCAGCTGGCTTTAGAATATTTTAGGAATTTAACTGAGATGACTCTCCATAGTGACGACATGATCTTCCCCTTCTAATATACTTGACCAATAGTAAAGACAGAGGCTACAAATTTTGATATGACTGAATCTCCAGTTCATTTACATGTAATCGTCTAACACGAGTGCAACAAAAGAACACACTTCCTGTTACACAAAGATACAAAGAGATCCTACCTGTCTGAACTGCTCCTCATAGGTCCATTCTCCATGGTCCTGCCCACCAAGATGGCCATGTGTGGCGTGGGGAGGTAGGATAGCTACGCGGGGCTCCTGGTCGACACTGGGGCGGGCCTTCAGCAGCTGGGAGTGAGGGTGAAGCTGGCGGTGGGGCAACAGGAGGATACCTTTGCCGGGGGCCACAGCATCATGGCCCGTTGGAAGACCTTCCTCTGCCAGGTCATCGTCAAAGTCTTCTTCCATCTCGCCTTCAAAGTCCTCCTCGTCCCATTTCTGTTTGCTGTGTGTATTAGAAACCGAATAATATTGTTTGCACTAGACACTAGAACAAATTACAGAAGTCTTAGGACAACTTCACCAGAGACATTCAGTACTTACATCTGCTCTTCCTCATCTGACCCCATCATGTCCTTGTATTGCTCCTCCCCTTCTTCATTTTCATCATCCTCACCCTCCTCCTCGCCGCCGCTGCTGCGCTCTGACATGGGGCTGTCCGACACCCTCTGTAGCCCGGCCGCCGCGGCGCGCATGGCCGCTAGCGCTGCCATCTGGGCCTGCTCCGCCTCAGGGGCCGGGCTCCCCATCAGCTCATCCCCTCCTCCTCCACCTGTGCGGACTTGAGTGTGCTGGGCGGCTTGCTGCTGTAGCTGCTGCTCCATCAGCAGCTTGGCCCTCTGCTGCCTGTGCAGGTTCTCCATGACGGCCTGCAGCTTCATCTCCAGGGAAAGTGGCACGGCGTTCAACTACCTTCCTTCCCCTCCCTCCCCCACTGAAAGAGCACCAGTCGGGGGCCAGTCAGGGGACGATGGTCAATCCTTCAGCCCAGGGAGAGCAATTACCAACCGCGCCTGTGATGAAGTAGCAAGCAGCTGGCTGGAGGTTTGGAAGTTATGGTTATGTTGAAATGCGGGTCCTTGAGGAGAAGTGGAAGGAGGAGAAGGAAGAGAAGGGGGGTCGGTCAGAGCTCTGAGACATGCAGTCAGAGGTCTGCTGCACTTCTTGAGTCAGAGGCCTCTCTCTTGTCTCAATGGTTTTTCCTGCAGTTGGGGGGAAACCAAAGCTGGCAGCAGAGCTGAGCCGCACACAAGAGTTCGCTGACAGACTACAAAGACCTGAGGGAGAAGAAAGAATAACAGTGTCAGCCTGCTACTTCCTCACTGTCTGTTCTTGCCTCCAGTTGAAGGTCAAATGTTTTTTGTGGTGACAGGGACAAAACTGTGAAACAACTTTCCTCGAAGCATCATATCAGTAGAACACGTTTCTATTTCTAAAATGCAACTTTCCATTCACTGGCCTTTCACTAAAGTGGACATCTCCCAACACTATCTCCTCTGATCTGATTTGAAGCTATCAAGCAAGTATGGTTAAAAACCACACTTTTATTTTGTGCATGTTGTAATTTTGTTGTCAGTATTGCAATGGTTACATTTCCATGTTTTGTAATCCCCCACATATTAGACATATTATTTGAGGAAATTGATCAATCATTTGAAATCATGACTACCAAGTATCAACTGACTGACTAATGTCTTCTCAAAAACCTTTTTGAGCTGCAGAGGAGCAGAAAACTCCAGTGATGACTACAGGGCTGCCCTGTCAACTCAAATCATGAGTTAAGAAAATGTGACAGGAGAGAATAATACCCAATTTCACACACAAAAATGCAGTCTGTGAGTTCAATTCAGCTGTGTAACATGTACAGCATTACTCACACGAACACAGACCTGACACGCTGCTCAAACAGGACAAAATGTTTTAACCTCAACAACAAGAGGAAGTGAAATCACAGGAAGAACTGTCACATTCTTCACCTGGTTGACTTGAAGCCAAAAAATATTTGAACCACACAGCAAAAATGAACATTATGAGTCAAGATTATATGTTTAAACGCACACAATTAATATTAGGAGGTGTGACCCTGCTGGGGTATGACTGGTGTGTTTTTCCCCTCATTAAAATGTTTTATTGCAAGACAGAGACGCAGTGGGGAGTTTTTCTGCAACTTCTGTGGGGGCGGTAATGGTTCTCCTACATACCTGTTCCCAAAAGTGTTCAGGTATGCAAAGCAGTCTCGGTTATAGGCAATAAGATTCAATACTTTGGAACCAATAACGTCTGTTCTCGATTATCAACAACCTATACATCAGAGTCATACTCGAGGGACAGTAACTGTCTATCCTGCCCCCTCTCTGGTTACTTAGAACATGCTGAAAATGTTAAGTCTGGGTTTGAAGAGGCTGTGGCTCAGATCAGTCAGGCAGAGATAAGAGCTGCACACCAAGTCAACACCACTTGGGGAAATTAAATTCGAGTGCAGGTGCTGGACATATTGAAGTATCAGTCATGATAGGAGGCAGCAGTGACTATATGCCACTACTCATTCAGCTAAACTGACTAATACATGAACAGACAGAACACTGTAACCACCACCTGCCCTGATGTTATACTATTAGAAACTACGGGTTTCACATTGAACTTTTACACTGGACACACGTTGGATAAAAGTATGAATGATGTTCTCATTACAGTTGAAATCATTCATCGATTAAGTCATTTTTTAAGGCAAATATGAATATTCACAGGTTTTCTTGGATCTTGAGGTTATACCACAAGTATTTCAACCAGCTTCTACGGCTTACATGCAAAAAGTCTTCTCCCTTTGCTCAACCTATCATATCTGTTTTATGTGTGATTATTTTACACAGGAGTATTCTGTCTCGTATATCACCTGAGCATTTTGTTTTTTCCTCCAGCTTTTGATAGCTGATAATTTTTGATGATATTTACTACTTTTCCAACTGATGGAAAGTATTAAAAGTTAGTATATAGTTATTATTAAAAGTGTTTCACCCACATTTTATAAGAATGTCAGTGATAAAAAAGTCATGAAGCACTAAAACACTCATCCATCATTTCACAAATTAGTCCACAGCCATCCACGCCCACAATATACTGTAGCTTATCAATAACAGTGCATTTACTGGAAGACGTTTTTTTTTCTTGGGAGAGTAGGGAAAGAAAGTTGTTTTTCTCCAGCATGTGGCTAAGTGGAATTCCACAGAAAAGCACACTAATCACAGCTATATTAATATAATTATGGTGTAGGCATGTTTTGAAGGCAAGAGGGGGATAAACAGTACATACACTCCAGGTCCAAGCTCCCTCGATAAGCTTGTAAGAGAAATTAAGTTCAGCTTCCATTCACAGGAAAATTGACTGTTTTCCATATCTTCTGTTTACATAGTCATGCATACATAATGAGAAGAGAGACAACACCCATAAACATCCTGGTTATCACTGTTACCCTGTAAGCAGATATTGGTTTCTCAATCAGCCAGTGCAAAAATATGCAATCCAAATGGAAAAAAACATCAGCTTGTGCAGCATTACATAGGTTTGACTCAACTTAGCTTTACACAACATCAGCACTCTACAAATGTCCGAAAGTGTGTACAGAGCTGTATGTGTTACAAGTGACACATCAGATGTGTAAATAAAAAAATATATAAATGCCCAATTTGTGTACCTGTTGTCAAGAAGAATCGTCATGATGGAGACGGGCTGATATCTGAGACGGACGCAGTTGGAGAGTTTGAAGAAAAACAAGAAGGCAAATGTCCTCAGTCTTCATATTCCTCTACTACATGCCCAACAATTGGTAATCAGCATGCAGTTGACACCCTGCAGCTTCTCTCTCTAGCTCAACTAATCAGATGCCTGAACTATAAAATGCACTAAGTTCTGCCACTACTGCGTAGTATAAAAGTATAAAAGCCTAAATATGGGTCACTGGCATATGAGCAAAGTGTGACTGTATATGAATTCAAATCTCTCGAGCAACAGTCATTCTGCAGCATGGCAGGAAAAAAATTTCAGTCACCCTATACCATGTCTGTATGTTACAGAAATGTTGCGCAAGGAAATAAGAGCTGTGAAACTTGTGTTTCTTCAGTGGGTGAAGGAAGTGACAACTGACGGAGCAGATGTAGTGAGGCAGCCGACAGATATTCAATATTGATTCATGACATTCTTTACAGGCGATAGAGGCACAACTGAATGGCTGCAGTTGTCAGATGGGTAGAATAGGACCAGTATAAGCAGATCAGCACATCTTGCCTTACTGGATCTGGTTTGACGGAGACAACTTGTCTCTGTTCTGAGATCTGGGCTCAAAGTGGAAAGACGCCAAGAATTACTGGTGGCAGATCTGGGCTATCCAGTTGCATTAAGTGACCCGGCAAATTCACTTCAGAACGACCCATACATGCACTGTTTGGATGTGTCACTTACACCATCCATTACCCAATATGTTACACTGCCACACTTTGAACATGTGCAAATGGGCACGATTTACATTTCTAATTTGAGCCAAAAACATTACAAGCTCTGAGACTGTCTCTCAGAGAGTGTCATATATGTAATTTCAAAGACAGAAGTGGCTACAACAGAGCTGTTGTGATGACTCTTCCTGTGCAGAGGGAAGCAGAAGTGGTCGCTTTGTTTCATTCCATTGCTGATCACAAGCATCATGATTTCCTACATGCTAGATGGTGCAAATTATATTGCGCCACTACATATGCTTCTCCCCACTTCCCCAAATGATGGGGCGCATTTAGATGCTTAGAAAACATTTTATGTGACAGTCATAATGATCATGCACAGAAAAAAACGTGGCATGTGTCAGGTTAACTTACTGCGGGTGTCTGAGTCTAGTCACTTTCATTCAAGTTTTGATCACAACCAAAAAGTCTTGTTTCTTATATTCTAATCAAACATTACAGCAGCTGATCTCACCCTTCAACACTCATGCTCAATAAATACAAGGAATGGATGAACACAGCCACTCCACATGTACCACATTTTGTTAATGGCAAACACAAAATCAGAGCAACAAGAAAATCTAGAATTTTTTTTTTTCCAAAAGTGACTGCAGATATATCCCAAATGTTGTCATCATTTTCCAGGTGTTTCGTCACAATGGTATTTTGAAAGTTCTGAATTGTGGATGGTCCTTACAGCACCAGTTCTTCATACTGGTCAGGGCACAGAGCCTTACTTTGGTTTGTCTGAACCAGATACTGACTTACACAGGGATTTAGGGTTTAAACAATGCTTTACGAAGCTAGCCGAGCTGAGCTAACCCCTTGCCAGAGTTATAAGACATTTAATATCTAAACCATAACCAGCCATGGAACCAAGCAGTCTCAGTGGGCAAGGGCCAAATCCCCTTAAAACTCCCTGCTGGGTCTCCTTCATACCGTACCAATGGTGGGAAACCACCTCTGTATATTGTGTAGTTTTTTTACATTTCTTTACATCAACCCCTTGGGACAGTAACCAGCTATTATTTGAAAGCCCCGCTTTGTTCAAAAACGGTTGCATAGCTGACAAATTCTGAGAGGAAGTTGCTGCTATGGCCAGTGAGTAAATAGGTTTCATAGTCTGTCTGAAGTCCTTTTTCTTCCAGTCAAAAATAATGTCGAAACTAAATTACAGAAACCTACTTGCTTCATGATTTTGCTCCATCACTAAGTAACATGTACCATATTTATATAGGTGGGTAAAGGTAATTCCAACAGCAAAGGAAATATTAAGCAGCCTAATTGATTTAATTTACTCCACAATTTATTGCCAGCGCTTTATGAATGGTTTTGGAATTTGCCTCCAAATCAATATGACTACTTGGCATCTTGTGTTTGCCAAGGGCCAAAGAACAAATGTAGATCCTGCTGTGATGGCTGACATATGGCGATTTTCTTTTAAGGGTTGCCATCTGTTTCAGTGACTGTGAATACCACTTTTCATGCAAAACAAAAGCCCACAAAAAACAGCAGTGTTTGATTTAAAGTGTCCCCTATCTGATTGCTGTTAACTGCCACCTCAACACTGCCCGCTTGTCTGTTTGCTATCTTAACGTGTCATCTTTCCCTCACATTCATATTTTTCCTTCCTGTCACTTGAACTCACATTTCGATGCTTAAATTTGCATTTTATAACAGAATATGGGGGGTACACAGAATTTGCTCAGCTTAAGAAAAAGATAAATGAACACATATTGCTTTTACACAACATAAAAGACAATTTCTCAAATTGCTCAGCTGACAATAAGACC